TTTACAAACTGACTCCATGGCAAGACAATGTTCGGTTAGGTTAAAATTTCGAAAATAAACTATTTATGGATCTTCATAAGTTAAGGCTATTTTCTATAGAGTATAATGATTGTAGCCTCCACCAACAACAGACTATATCTGCTATAGACTGCACCTCTATTAGTTTACATCTACAGTAGCCTATACACCTACAGAACAGTAGCCTACACCTGCAGCAGCCTACATCGACAATAGCCTACATCTAAAGCAGCCTACACCTCTAGCAGCAGCAGCTGACATGATACATATCCTCTTAGGCCTCCCCGAGATGACCTGCTGATGGGGCGTGATGGGAAGCAGTAATGAGGAGGCAATGGGGGCGACCTGCTAGTGTGGTGGAATGATGGGGAAAATAATGGGTTGTGTTGGGAGAGCCTGCTGGTGATGGGGACGCAATGGTGGTTTGTGTGCTTAAGGAATGATAGGAGAATGGGGAGAATGATAATGAGGAAGTACTGGAGTGTGTAGTAGTGACGCTTAAGGAAAACATAATGACGGTGTGATGATGGAAAATGGAATGTTGAAATAATGGTTAAGTATTGTGGATTTTTATTGTGATATGGTGTGATGGGAATGTGATGAGATGTAATGGAAGATGTGTAATGTATGTAAATAATGAATGAAGGGGAATAAATAATGAGGAAGGGGTGAGGTGATGAGGAGGAGGTGTGGTGATGAGGAGGAGGAGGTGTGGTGATGGGGAGGAGTGATGGGAAGGAGGTATGGTGATGGGATGGAGTTGTGGCAATAGGAAGGAGTTGTGGTGATGGGGAAGATGTGGTGAAGGGGATGTGTGATGGGGAGGAGGGTGATGGAGAGGTGTGGTGATTGGGAGGTGGGGAGATGGGGAGGGAGTGATGGGAAGGAGGTATGGTGATGGGATGAGTTGTGACAATAGGGAAGGAGTATGGGGAAGATGTGGTGAAGGGATGTGTGATGGGGAGGAGGTGATGGGGAGGAGGGGAGTGGGGGAATGGAAAGGAAAGAGAGATGGGGTATAGAACAGAGGAGAGGGAGAGAATAGAGAGAGGAAAAGTGAGAGAGTAGAAGGCACAGACGGTAGAGATAAGGAGAGAGAGAGAGAGAGAGAGAGAGAGAGAGAGAGAGAGAGAGAGAGAGAGAGAGAGAAGACAAGCCAGAACAATGATGGAAGAAATAATAGGAAAAAGAGGAAATTTATAAGAAAAACGTAAAATGGAAAGAGAGAGAGAGAGAAGGAAGGGGAGGGAGCAATGAAAGGGGAAAGAGGAGGAAATGATGGGAGGGGGAGAGGAGAGGAAGTGATGAGAGGAGAGAGGGATGGAAGTAATTAGGGAGGGAAGAGGAGTGGAAGTGATGAGAGGGGAGAGGGAATGGAGTAATGAGAGGGGAGGAAATATTAAGAGGGAAGGAAGTGATAAAAGAGGAGAAGGAAATAATAATGAAGAGGAAGTGATGCAAGGGGAAAGGAAAGGAAACGATAAGAAGAGACAGGGAATGATGTGGAGAGAGGGGAGAGATAAAGAAATGATAAGAAGAGAGAAGGAAGAAAGTGATTAAAAAAGAGAAGAAGTAGAGGGAGAAAAAGGCCTTCTTGGAACAGTCGTCTGGACCAGAAGGATTCGTAGGACGTCAAAATAATTGGAGATGAAAACCAATGACTCCTGCAGGTCGTTGGTCTGTATAACATTGTCTTTATCATAAACAAGTTAAATTAAGACGTCCAGAGATAAGCTCCTTAATCCGAGAGGAAAAAAATATCCTGGATTCTATTTTTTTTTTTTTAGAAAATTGTATCAAATAATTAATTGCCAATAATATATGTATATTTGCCCTAGTGGTAGAATAATTCATCTCAAAGCTTGAGTTCACGAGTTCGAGCCTCACGGTAGAAACATAGAAGTAATTATTGTCTTTCCCTGTTCTCCATTAACACCATTCCTTCGTCTTCTTAAGTTTCTATGAAGTGGAATAATTAAAAGGGCGTCAAATTATACACAATGACTCAGTGAGATGATTTACTTAATGGAATTTACGAATAAGTTGACGGGTCACAGTTTAACATAGTCAAAGGTGCCGTGACGGCCTGGTGGTGTAGCGGTTCTGGAATCTGGAGAGGATGACGGTCAAATGAGAACCCGTCTTGAAGGAGTAAAAATACAGTACAATAAGTTTTGTTTGTTACTAGATGTAAATTATAAAATATTTACTGTGTAGGTGTGATGAGTTTTATTATTTGTACTTTCTTGATACATTTATTATTATTATTATTATTATTATTATTATTATTATTATTATTATTATTATAATTATTTGTATTATTATTATTATTATTATTATTCTTATTATTATTTGTATCATTATTATTATTACTATTATTATTATTGTCAATATTATTATTATTATTATTATTATTATTATTATTATTATTATTATTATTATATGTAGTGAGAGTATTTTCATTAATATTATAACTATTACCATTCTCAATTTATCGTGTGAGATCAAAAAATAAATAAATAATGAAACAGTACATCCCGGTTATCGTAAGAAATGTATACAGTATACAGTGACCAAACTCACTCTATACTTCTTAATTCGCTGAGATACAAACACACGGTAAGTCTTGGTGGTAATGTGCTGCCTATCTCACCAGTTCAAGTCCAATTATATTTGTTTTTAAGTTTTTACGCCGACAAAAAGGTATCACGTACAGACAGACAGACGGACATAAGTCAGATAGTTGGATGAAGTCTTTTGCTGTATTCTTTCGCTGTGAAATTTCTCGTTAGTGTATTTAAATTGTTGACAGACGCATTGTATGTTAAGCATATAGTATCTTATTTGTGTATATGCTTATAAAATATTATTATTGTGTGCAAAATAAAAAAATAATAATAATTATAATAATTTACAATTAAAATAAATATAATAATCATGATAATTATAATAATAATAAAAAATAATAGCAATAAAAATAATAAACAATAATAATAATAATAATAATAATAATAATCAAAATAATAATAATAATAATAATAATAATAATAATAATAATAATTAAAATAATAATAAGAGTAATAATAATAATAAGAGTAATAATAATAATAAGAGTAATAATAATAATAATGATAATACGAGTGGTATTAATAATAAATATTCATAGCAGCAGTAAAAATATTAAACGTTACTATTTCAATAGGAATAACAACAGTACCGATCATTGTTACTATTATGTATATATCCTCCTCAGTCTCGCTGCTATTATCATCATTACAGTAATTACATTTATATGATAGTAAATCTTTGTAATCCTTGCACCTCAGAGTATCAGTAATACCATCAAAATTAAGAGTAATTGAGATACATTCAACAGATATGATGAATATCTTCCCCCCCCCCTCCCCCCCAAAAAAAGCACCAGAAATAAAAAACAATTTTGACTAGAAACAATAACACGCGTTATTAGCCCATTAAAAACATATTATTATCACCTGGAAAGAAAATGATAATATAGATTTATAGATATTAATATCAGCAATAGTAACCTCGATAATTATATCAAGTGAGTTGGTTGGTGTACTGTAGGTGAAATAAACTCACAGGAAGGGGAAGTACCGGCAGTAAGGAGGACCCGGGTACTGGCGCGGTCTTCCTCAGCCCTTACTGCGGGCGACGGCGTGTGGTAATACTGACATGTATTTTACACTATTGTATTTTCATTATTTTATAACGTAGTTTGTATGTTCTTATAACTGTTTTTCGAGTCATATTATTGCTCTTGTTACCACTTTTATGAATAGTAATATTCTTCTAGTAACAACAATGATAATAATATTAATAGCACTGCTATTCCTACTGTTAAAAATTATAATTATTATAATAATAAATAATATTATCAACAGCGACATTCATAATGATGCTAAAATACTGACGTCATAATATACATCGCACTAATAATGGTAATATAAAAAAATACGGAAATGTAATTCACTTATAAGTTCTCGAGGAGCAGAAGTATATATAAACACCTCCATTATTGTGTTAAATAATATCAGTTTATTACCACAGTAATGTTAGTATCAACCTCACTTTATCATCAGATACAATGGATTTATATGTATTTATGCTTGTAGGCAGACGCTGCTGACTTTTATCGCTGGCTCACACGCTAGTATATAATGGCACACGAAACAGTGTAGTGTTCCTCCTGTAATATGTGATTCAGGAAGGAGAAGTGGCATTAACAACTCTCGAGGTGATTATATATATACACAGCACCCTATTTAATTCTAGAAATAATATATCAGTAATTCGACAGATGTTGTCACTCGATATTTATTAATATAATATAGCATTAAACCCTAAATGAGCACTCATGGCCCACTAATAATAATGTTAAACGCAATATACGTTTCTCAACAAAAGAAAATATCTACTAAGATCTCGAGTAATATTATATAATAAACACCAGAGTTATAATTAAGGATGATCTTTAAGGAGTTGACAAAATACCCAATATCAGTGAGGTCAGAGCTTCCAGAGGCGACACTAACATTGTCTCTATATCATGCCACTCCAAGGTAAATAAACTCTCACCAGATTTCTCTAAACATGATGGTGTCGTGTGGATACTCAGTGATCATCCCTGACATGTAAACAAACTTGTATTTCTTAGTTGCATTTGACTCACTCATGTAAACACGGGTTTCGTTTTCTTAACTGTGCTAACTGTAGTGTTTACCAAGGGGTGGTGAAGGCGTGATATTTGTCTAATACTAACAAACGTGTCTATCCGTGTTGTTCTTCAGTAGCGCCTGCAGTAGTGTATGCGTTGTATGTGGTCTGCAGACCTTTTGTAAACAACTTTGTATGATTAAAAATTAAAAACAACTATTTATTGACGGCTACAACATAAACAATAACATTATCCTCAATGATAATAACCAATGTATTGTACTGGGCTAAAGTAAGTCACTCACCAGTCTTTTCGTCTTTATTGAGGTTGTCGAGTGTCTTGTTGGTCATCTTGAAGAGGGCGTCAAGAGCACTCCCTTTGTCGTTGCTGCCGCTCTTCTTGTCGCTCTGGCCGGCAGACTTAGCGGGGGGGTCGGTGGCCCCCTCCTCCCGCGTGTCCCAGGGCCGCACGATCTTCACAGGTACCGAGGACTTCCGCCGGGAGGGTTTGTAGGAGAGGATGTCGAGGATGGAGAAGGACCTCAGACCCGCAGCTTGCTTCTGGTCCATTCCTGCCATCTCCCCTCTGCCCAACAGTGGCGCTGGCTCTTGTGGCTCTTCCAACTGTGGGTCAGGTGAGGGCGGGGAGGGCTTGGGTTCTGGGTCCTGCTGTGGGGAGAGGGGCTCCTGCTGCTGCTGGAGAGGTGGCGGTGACGTGCTCGACATGGCTAATCTCTTCAGTGGTCTAAAATAATCATCGTCTGAGAGGTAGGTAAATGACTCTGTCTGTAGGGAGCCTGAGGATAGTGTCGGGGACGGCGCCCCTCGCGACGTGGAGGGCGACTGTGGCTCTGTCTCCTCGTCCTCCGTGGAAGTGTCGGCGTGGGTGGTCATGTCCATGGGCGAGGGCTGGTCCTGACGCGCCTCGCCCTCACACCCGACACTGATCTCACTGTCACATGGGCTGGGCGGCCGCTCCTCCCGGGGAGACGCGGGCGAGTCACTGTCCTCCATCCTGGCCACACACTCCACCCGGATCTCCATCACTCCGGCCTCTCACTGAACACGCTCACCGTCTCCAGGACCACGCTAGGCAGCGGTCCGCTCACAACAAGGTTCGCCACAAAGTTTCTCACAGAGAGCACTGCCTCCTGTCTATGCGCTGGTCACCGACAGACTGATGCTGATCGCATCAGGCGGAGAGTAATCACTCGAGTCCAGCGCGGCCGATGAAGATGTGCCAACTGGTCGACTGGTTAATGATAGAGCAGCGCCTTCACACGCCTAATGGCCGCCTTTGATGTTTGCCGCCCGCCAGTGACTACAGGCGCCGCCCGCCAGCCACACACGGCGAGCGACACACGTGATTGGGCGGGACTCAGAGAGACCCCGCCCTTACTGCCGTGCCATTCGTCAACATATTAGCAGGAGGAGGAGTCACACAGGGCCCACCCTGGTGAATGGGCCAGGAATTATCAATTCGCCAATGGGGAGGAGAGACCGGCATATCAAAGGGGACCATGAATAGCTCAATCAGGGAGTGAAGTGACGTGGTTAATGGAGATATTCTAACAGGGCGGGCCACTCGGGTGTCAAATTAGGGTGGGTTGTGGTCCGGGTGGTCCTGGTCCGGCGGGGCGGCCCGGGGGCGTGGGGCGGCGTCGGTAACGGCCCGTGAGTGATGGAGGGGCCGCACTAGCCCTCGGCGCCGCCCTCATTATTGCAGATAAACAGCTCACCGCCTGGCCTGGTCCTCCTGCGGCCCGCGTCTTGTCTTACCGCCCCCACTCGTCTTGTCTTGTTGCTGTCTCTACCCATGTCAAGACCACAATACTACTACCACTGCCTACAGTCTACAACTACTACTACTGCCAATGTCTGCTACTTCTACTACTAATAGTACAACTACTAACGCTGCCCACTATCAAGACCTACCACTAGGACTACATAATAATAATAATAACAATAATAATAATAATAATAATAATAATAATAAAATTAATAATATTGCAGAGTGTCAGTACTACTACCACACTGTTGGTATCTACCTATGGGTCGCGCCCATCGCTGCACCTCTACCTGGCCTCAACGACTACAGCTGCCCGCCACCTGGCTCTGACTCCACTGTGTCAACCACTTCATGCTGCAACACTATGACACAGGTATTATATATATATATATAGACAACCTGCCTCTGTCAGTGTGATATATGTGTGCTGTAACTCACATAACACAAGATTGGGTAAGATTATTTATGACCTTCAAACACTAAGTGCTGTCTCCTCCTGTCACTGTCTTCTCTTCCTGCTGCCATGGCCTCCTGCTCCTGCTGCTGCCATTGTCTCCTGCTGCTGCTGCTGTCATTGTCTCCTGCTGCTGCTGCTGCCACCGTCTCCCTTTCCTGCTGCTACTGTCTCCTGCTGCTGCCGTCTCCTGCTGCTGCCACGCCTCCTCCTCCTGCTGCCACCGTCTCCTGCTGCTGCTGTCTCCTCCTGCTGTCATCGTATCATCCTTCTGCTGCCACCGTCTTCTCCTCCTCCTCCTCCTGCCACTGCTACCGTCTCCCCCTCCTCCTGCTGCTGCTGCTACCGTCTCCTACGACTGCCACCGTCACCTGCTGCTGCCGCCGTCCACTTGCGCTGCTGCGTACCGTCTCACCACTGCTGTCACCCCACTGTCTGCGCTGCTACCGTGCTGCGCTGCTACTGTGTCCTGCTGCTGCCGTCACTCACTGCTGCTACCGTGTCCTACTGCTGCTGCCGTCACCCATTGCTGACGCCGTCACCACTGCTGCCAGTGTCACCTGCTGCTGCCATCGTCCTCCTACTGCTGCCACCGTCACCTGCTGCTGCCATTGTCACCTGCTGCTGCCATCGTCTCCTACTGCTGCCACCGTCACCTGCTGCTGCCATCGTCACCGCTGCTGCCGCCGTCACCTACTGCTGCCACCTGTCACCTGCTGTTGCTGCTACCGTCACCTGCCGTTGCTGCTGCCGTCACCTGCTGCTAACACCGTCACTCTGCTAACACCGTCACCTGCTGCTAACACCGTCACCTGATGCCGTTGCTGTCACCCACTGCTGCCACCGTCACCTGCTGTTGCTGCTGCTACCGTCACCTGCTGCTGCAGTCTACTGCTGCCACCGTCACCTGCTGCTAACACCGTACCTGATGGCTACCTGATGCTGCCGTCACCTACTGCTGATGCCGTCCTACTGCTGCCGCCGTCACATACTGCTGCCATCGTCACTTGCTGCTGCTATCGTCACTACTGCTCCGCCTGTCACCTGATTGCTTCCGCTACTGCGCTGCCGTCACCTGCTGCTAACACCGTCACTTTACTGTATCACCGTCACCTGCTGCTAACACCTGTCACCTACTCTGCTAACACCGTCACCGTCACCTGCTGCTACACACCGTCATCACCTGCTGCTAACACCGTCACCTGCCTGCTAACACTGTCTGCTGCTAACACGCATCGCTACCGTCACCTGCTGCTAACACCGTCACCTGCTGCTAACCGTCGCCTGCTGCTAACACCGTCACACTGCTGTCACCTGCTGCTACCTGTCACCTGCTCACCTGCTGCTAACACGTCACCTGCTAACACGTCACCTGCTCTAAACACCGTGTTGTTGCTACACGTCACTAACACCGTCACCTGCTGCTACACCGTCACCTGCTGTCACGTCACTCATGCTAACACCGTCACCCTGCTGCTAACACCGTCACCTGCTGCTACACCGTCACGCTAACACCTCACCTCTAACTGCTCTGTCACCTGCTGCTAACACTGTCACCTGCTGCTAACCCACGCTAACACCGTCACCTACGCTAACACTGTCACCCACTGCTAACACCGTCACTGCTGCTTAACACCGTCACCTGCTGCTAACACCGTCACCTGCTAACACCGTCACCTACTGTCAACACCTAACACCGTCACCTGCTGCTAACACCGTCACTGCTACACAACACCGTCACCTGCTGCTAACACTGCACCACTGCTAACACCGTCACCTATCTAACACCGTCACCTGCTGCTAACACCGTCACCCGCTGTCACACGTCACCGTCACCTGCTAACAACCACTGCTAACACCGTCACCTACTGCTAACACTGTCACCCTGCTAACCTGGTACCATTTACCGTCACACCCTGCTAACACCGTCACCTGCTGCACACGTCACCCACTGCTAACACCGTCACCTGCTGCTTGCCGCTAACACCTGCTAACACCGTTACACACTGTCACACACCTACTAACAACACCCCTGCTCACCTGCTGCTAACAGTCGGACTGCTAACACCGCTGCTACCTACAACACTGCTGCTGCTAACACCGTCACCTGCTGCTAACACCGTGCTGCTGCTGCTACCCATCACACCGTGCTGCTGCTAACACCGTCACCTACTGCTAACACCGTCACCTGCTGCTAACACCGTCACCTGCTGCTAACACGTCACCTGCTGCTAACACACTCTACTGCTAACACCGTCACCTGCTGCTAACACCGTCACCTGTCACCTGCTGCTAACCACTGCTAACACCGTCACTGCAACACCGTCACCTGCTGCTACACCGTCACCTGCTGCACACTGTCACCTGCTGCTAACACCGTCACCTGCTAACACCGTCACCTGCTGCTAACACCGTCACCTGCTGCTAACACCTGCTGCTAACACCGTCACCTGCTGCTAACACCGTCACTGCTAACACCGTCACCTGCTACACCGTCACTGCTGCTGCTAACACCGTCACGCACACTGCTAACACCGTCACCTGCTGCTAACACCGTCACCGCTAACACCGCCTGCTCGCTGCTAACACCTAACACCGTCACTGCTGCTACACCGTCACCTGCTGTCACCTGCTGCTAACACCGTCACCTACTGCTAACACCGTCACCTGCTGCTAACACCGTCACCTGCTGCTAACACCGTCACCTGCTGCTAACACCGTCACCTGCTGCTAACACCGTCACCTACTGCTAACACCGTCACCTGCTGCTAACACCGTCACCTACTGCTAACACCGTCACCTGCTGCTAACACCGTCTCTTCCTCCATTATCATTATTATAACCTTGTTAGTGACTATTATCATTCATGATATATAGTCGATATTATTCATATTACCCATTATAATGTTCTTCGGAATAACATTGGACATATACCAAGTTTAATGAGTTTCGTTTGTGAACACTGTATTTCAATATTTCTTTTTTTTATGTGTGTGTGTGTGTGTGTGTGTGTGTGTGTGTGTGTGTGTTTTAGTATATACGGATTTATACAAAAATCATCTATTTGTGTATATTCAGGTCCATAGCTGCATATTTAGTGTCCAAGTTTGTGTTAATAAGCATCTTACATATCCTTATAGCCACCGATTCATCATGCACTGCCTCACCCCCATATTTCATCTTACAAAACTCTATGTAACTGGAACTTCATTCTGCTTCGTCACTAATTTTGTCAGGTGTTTAAACAAATGACTGTCAACAATGAGTAAACTTTTGATAATGGGTTACACTATTCTTTATATTTTAGTGTCGTTTGTAATATGGTTTTACCTAGTATGTGCCTGGCCAAAATGCTGCTGATAACTATATATATCAATACTGTATCAATAATGTTTAAGCCTATTGTTACATATTGCAATAATACGAGTGAGGAAAGTATAGAATAAAGATTATTTTTTACCCGGATCGCATCTCCTAATTATTTGCAAAGTTTCTCTGTGAGGCAACACTTACAGGATATTATAACAAAATGTCCTGACACCTCCAGCATGTCACACATACACACACACACACACCTGTTTGGTCTTTCCTCCTGAAGCACCTGGTACAGTTAGGGTCAAAAGTTCATATGAAGCAGTTTGACCCCAAATGAGTGCATCCACACCGGACGAGAGTCAGGGTATGTAAGTTTGAAGACTCATTCCCGTGACACATTTTCACTAATTCACACGAACTTTTGACCCTGACTGTACAACATAATGTACAGTTGCGAACAAAAGTTCGTACCATCTCTAGGACTCCAAAACTGAATCAGTATCGACCCCAAATGAGATAAAACAGCACACCCGCACTAGACGACAGTCGGGGTCAGCAAGTTCGGAAACTCATTCCTGTGACTCAGTATCACCGCAGGGGACAAACTTTGGTCGTCTTTAAACGAGATATCCTAATCAAACTTTCTTCCATTGTGTTTATTTGTTGTATTAATATG